CCTACACCCCCATTTCCTCGTCGCCAATACTCCGGTTGTGCACTAGATCGACGTTGGTACACAATTTTTTTGTTATTCTTTTGTTTTTTTCTTTTTAAATTTATTTTTCGGGAGACTTAGTACATAGAACTCGAAAAAAATGACTGGGTTGAACTTAATGTGATAGGAATTGATACTATCATTCGTCAATTTGATATTTTGGATGGTTTATAATTGATATGTAAACTGATTGTAACGACCACCACGTCAAAGACACAGTTGACCTTGGGAGTCAGAGTATTATGACTCATAGTGTTATATGTCCGGTCATAATATTATTACCAATCAGTCATAACAGTATGAGTCATTGTCTATGAGTCAAATTATAACAGTATGAGTCAAAATGACCGGTCATAGTCCGGTCATATTATTATGACCGGCGCAGTCATAGTGATATGACCGTCCAATCATAATATTATGACTGAAATGACCCATAGTGTTATGACTGGCACGTTATGACTGCCTTATGACCGATGACGACTAGGAGTAATTGCATGTTGATTAACAATTATTGTTTTTGAAATTATTTAGGAATGGCTGCTGGATTGAATGTTTTCATCAAGTACAATGGACATTGGGACCGTGCTTTGAGATACGTCGGTTGTGAAATGAAGGGGATATTGGTCCCCACCAACACAACTTATATTGGTCCTATAGATTTGGTGAGAAATGTGCTTAGGATTCGGCCACAAGGAAAAAGTTTATCCTTAAGTTATGTTGTTGAAGATTGAGAAGCTCCTGTGAAGATATCGTCTGACTATGATGTCACATTATACCTGCAATTGAAGAAGAGGGATGCTCACTTGCTCAATAAATTTCCAATATGTGTCGATTTAGCGGATGAGACAGTGGCCGAAGCGTTGCCATATGAGATAGGAGAAAGCAACCACATTATGGTGAAACCAACATCCGTTTCATGTCCTAGTGATGATGTGTTGCCTCCCGCCCTTGTGGCGGGTCGCCAACCTTATACTACTACTAGTAGGCCGAAATATAGTCTAATCCATTACTTTTTACTTGATTTCAGATATGGAAATAATCTCTGAAACTTACCTTAACTTATTACAGTACGATGATCTTTACTAACACTGTACCATCTCTTTCTTAATACTTAATACACAAACTTTTGTTCTACATTACATTACTTCTACATCGGAATTTTTCCTACGCGGGCGAAGTAGACACCACTCCCGTGAACCTATGACATATCCGCCACCTTGCATAAGCCAGTCCATCAAACATAATTACTATATAGTTGGCTGTTTACCTGTGTTACCTGCAACACGAGTAATCTGATGAGCGTATGCACAACAAGTATAGACATGCAAACATCTTAAAACTAGTAAAACTGTATAATGTGTCATAATGTAGGAATGCGCACATGAATATGTTTTCTTCGCAAACATGCTTTAATAACTACTTTCTATCTTTCTGTTCTTGTTACTGTAAGCCGGGGCCCCTACTTAATTGCTTTACTGTGGTAATTGCCTTACTGTGGGTCTGGGCCCCTGTTTAACTGCCTGGTCTAGCCGGGATCTCTTACTCTTTGAGATTTCCTCCCTTGGGCGGCCGACAACCCGTCAGTCTTTTAACTTTACTGAACTTTGAATTTTCATTTCAAAGTATTTTAAACTTTACTAAATGCTATGCAATGCTTTCTCTATGTGCACATGCTTACCATGAGATGCATAATGCTTCATGCATACCTTAAACTGAGCATCAGGGTAACCGTATGTTGCCCCTCTGCAATCTAGGGCACTAAGCCCTCAAACACTCAATATCACATAAACTTAGAAATATAAGCAATTTCATAATTCTAAGTTTATCCTACAGTTTACTCGAGTACAGACAAACATATATGTCTATACTTACAAATAATCTGCTAGTATTCCCGCTTGTTGAGAATTCTTCTTTCTTGCCTCGGTCATGCCAAAACCTGTGTCATAGAAATCGATATCAACTTCCTATTCTCAATATCAAAATTTCTCAAGTTTAGATTTCTAAATCCAATCTCATTCTCATTTTTGAATTTTATTCCTCTAAGCCGAACTTTATAGCTTAAGAGGCAAATTCCGCCATTTGTATATCTCGATTTCTGAACCTCAATTTACCCATTTTTGGATCTTAGAACTATTGTTCTTACTCAAAAATTGAAACCATAACTCAATACTTACTATCTAGGTTTAGGAAATTTTGGCAGAGTTTCGTCTAGTTTTTCTCATTACTCGAGCTTTCAATAGCTCGTTCTAACTTACAATTTCAGTTCATGGAGTCAAGATTCATAATTCTCAACACAAATTCTAACTCAAAAAATTGAACAAAACACAAGTTCCTTCTCATCTAGGGCTCACGGATTTTTAGTCAAAATTCACAAAAACCTCGTTCAATCGTTTCAATTCCTATGCCATTAGACTTCTATCACGGCGCTCTACAAAACCTCAGTTTTGGTTTTTACTTTTACGAAAGTTTTTCGAGATTGGTTACTATTCATCCAAATAAAAAATCATAGGATTTACTATGAAAAATCCGAAATCTTACCTCTATGAGTTGAGATTTCCCGCTAGAACGCCACGGGTTTTGATTCTACCGGACTGAACGGAAGAAATTTCGACGAAAACGCTTGATTCTGTTGATTTCTCTTTGTTTCTCTCTTTTTCTCTTTGGTTCGGCCACTCTAAGGAATAGAACACATTTAGCTTCTAATTTCCTTCCTAAGCCTTTTTAAGAACAAAAATTAATTTTTTATTAATTTTTTTCCTATTACTTTCCCATTTAAAGAAAATACTTTAATTCTTTTTTTCTATTTCTTTCCAACAAAAGAAAATGCTTTAATTCTCATAATTTAATTCTACTAATTTTACTTAAGTTGGATACTTAATTGGAGTGGTTCTAAGTTCCTCAAAATTTTCTTGTCGAGACCCAACTTTCCGCTTCTTAAAACGAGTCTCTTTCTGGTACTGATAATCTCCCTCCCGGTACAGGTTCTGTACTGCTTTTCTGGACTGCCGGGTACCCCGGGTCAAACTTCTCATATTCAACCCAATTCTTTTGGGCATCTCATTAGTCAATTTCTTTTTCTGAAATATTCATTTCAATCGATCCAGAATTACTCAAAACGCTTACCCTTACGGTACTGGTTTTTGTGCTATTTATCACTCTAACTGACTTGAGAAAATCTTGTTTTAAGAACTATTGCTATTTTCTTTACTTCTAAAATTTCTACTCTTTTTCTAACCTATCATTTGGTCGCATACCAAAATTTTTAGTTTTTCAGAACTGAAATAAAACTACTAAAATTTCTATTTTTTTACTAATATTGCACTATGCATAACTGATATTTATGAATTTCCTCTGAAGAAATATTCGTATTATAACTTTATACATTTTAGGAAATTTTGTCCCGTACATAAAGTTTCTACACTACTCTTTCGTCAAGTCAAAATTTTACTACTTACAATTCCAGAAAGAATTACGGTCAAATGCCGCACTGTCCGGATTAGATCAAAATTTTCCCGGTCATTACATTCACCCATCCTTAAGAATTTTCATCCCGAAAATTAGAACAAATGGGGGCACTTTTGTCCAATTTCTTCTTCCACTTCCCAAGTGGCTTCTGCGACACTGTGATTTTTCCATTGAACTTTAACTATTGGGATGCTACGACTTCTGAGTTTCTTCTCTTCTTGTGCTAAAATTTGAACTGGTTGCTCCTCATAGGATAAATCTTCGCGGATCTGAATAGGCTCATACTGTAACGCATGTGATGGATCTGAGATATATTTCAAGAGCATTGCTACATGAAACACATTGTGCACTGAAGCCAAGTTTGGCGACAGAGCTAATCGGTAAGCTACCTTCTCTATTCTTTCAATCATCTCGAAAGGTCCTATGTAACGTGGGATCAACTTACCTTTCTTCTCAAAACACATCACACCCTTCATTGGTGCGACTTTCAGAAATACGGAGTCCCCTACAGAGAATTCCAAGGGTTTTCGGCGTTTATCTGCATACCTCTTCTGCCGGCTTTGAGTTGTTTCTAATCTTCTGTGAATCTTTTGCACTGTGTCAATGGCCTATTGAATGAACTCTGTCTTGTGAAGCTGCTTTTCTCGAGTATCATACCAATGAACTGGTGATCTGCATTTCCTTCCATATAACGCTTCATACAGAGCCATGACGATGGAAGCTTGATAACTGTTATTATACGCAAATTTGATCAATGGCAATTTCATGTTCCATGCTCCTTTGAAATCTACAGTGCAAACACGAAGCATATCTTCTAGGGTCTGAATTGTTCTCTCAGATTATCCATCCGTCTGGGGATGAAACGTTGTGTTATAGCGTAATTCTGACCCCATCGCTTCTTGAACACTTCTCCAAAAATTTGAGGTAAATCGGCTGTCCCTGTTTGACAGTATGCTACCTGGTACTCCATGTAGCTTTACTATGTTAGCCACGTATAACTCAGCTAATTTTTCTAAGGAGTAAGTTATCTTGATTGGGATAAAATACGCTGATTTCGTTAGCCGATCTACTATAACCCAAATGGCATAATATCCTCCGCTGGTTTTCAGAAGTCCGGTCACAAAATCCATAATTAGATGTTTCCACTTCCATTCCGGGATCTCTAGTGGTTGTAATCTTCCAATTGGTCTCTGATGTTCTGCTTTGACTTTTTGACATGTCAAACAACGACTAACAAAGTCAACTATGTCGTTCTTCATTTGCTTCCACCAAAAATGTTGTTTCAAGTCTTGATACATCTTGGTGGCACTTGAATGTACGGAATATGGCGTGTTGTGTGCTTCCGTTAGTATCTGCTTCTTGATTCCTTCTTGATCCGGTACACAAATTCTTCTTTGGTACAGGAGAATCCCGTCTTCTTAAAGGCTAAAGTTTGACTTTGCATTTTCTACCATCTCCTTCCTGTATTTATCCATAGTGGGATCACATATCTGAGCTTCTCGTATCTCGTCTTATAGCACGGGTTGCAGTCGCAGAGAAGCTAATTTGTTTGTGATTAATTCAAGATATGGGAGATTAATCTCTTGTCGAAGCTATTTGGCAACAATTTGGTATCCACTGGAGTTCGCATTGCTGGATTTCTACTTAAAGCGTCTGCTATCCTTCCGACTGAAAAATTACCTTTTTCTTTCTACAATCTATTGTAGCATTATACTTTCCTAGAAAATCCATTCCTAGGATCACATCATAATCTACTAAGTCCAGTATAACTAGATCTGCACCAGTGTTGGACTTTCGGGCGGCGGGCATGCCCGATGCCCGAAAATTTTCGGGCACAGCGGGCAGGCCCGTCTCGCCGCCCGAAAATGATTTTCTTCGGGCACGGGCTCGGGTAGCCCGAAAATGGTAAGCCCCCGACAGCCCGCCGCCGTGGAGAAGCCTTCCCCCGCCGTTCACCGGATTTTTTTTGAATTTTCCGGCAAATACCCGAAACTGTCCGAACTGCCCAAATTTTTGCCCGAATTACCCGAATTTTTTGTGACTGTTGCCCGAATTTTGGTGACCGTTGCCCGAATTTCGCCCCATGCCCGAAAAATGCCCGATTTTTTTTTACCGTTAGCCCGAAATGCCCAAATTTAAAAAAAAAATGGTCTTTTGCCCGAACCCGAACCCGAATTTTGCCCGAATTTTTGAACCAAACGGTCGGATTTTTATCCGTTGCCCGACCTGCCCGAATTTTGCCCGCCCTGCCCGAAAATTTTTTAGCCGTTGGACCCGAATTTTTGGGGGAAAAATTTTTTTTTTCAACCCAAAAATTTTCCTATAAATACCCCCTCCCCCCAACCATTTTTCTCACCCCAAAACTCTCATTCTCTCTCAATTTCTCTTAATCTCTCTCAATTTCTCTTAATCTCTCTCAAATCTCTCTTAATCTCGCCTAAATCTCTCTCGAATCTCGATCTCTCTTAAGCTCTCTCAAAGCGCTCTCAATCTCTCTTATTTTTCATAATGGCTTCTTCTGGTTATGGTGGTGGTGGTGATATTCCTATTGATGCCCAATTCAACATCGAAGAAGGGCAATTTCCTAATGTTTTTCAATCGCAGGAATCACAAACTATGAAAAGAGATGCTGATCAAACTGCAAATCCGACCCCTGGTGGACGTACTAGAGGTCGGGGACGTAATGGTGGTGGCACAAGTGGCCGTGGAGGAGAGGCAAGCGGTAGTGCTAGTGCAAGTGCTGCAAGTTCTAAGAAGAAATGCAAGCGCACCTCAGCAGTTTGGGAGCACTTCAACACATTCGAGGACGTCGACAATAACGGTAACATTAAATACGTAGCTCAATGTAAATATTGTGGTGAGAAATTACAAGGTAACACTATTCACGGCACTACACACTTAAGAAGGCACTTTGAAAAGTGTCTTCAAAAGCAAGGAGGCGGAGATCAACTCCGCCAAACACAATTATCGTTTGACCGCCAAACCGGCGGTCTAAGCACGTAGAAATACGATCCGCAAGTTGATCGTATGGAAACATCACGATTAATAGCCACATTATATCAACCACTAAGTTTTCCTAAACAAAGAAATTGGCAACGTTATATTAAAATTGTACATAATCCTAATGCACAATTTTTTTCTAGAACTACTCTTAGGAAAGATGCATTAAAATTATATAAACAAGAAAA